CTGCGAGTGTTTGACTGCTTTAAGAGATTACAAACCCTGTAAAATCCCTTGATAAACATGAATGATGAGTTCGACAATGCGGGAAGTGATTTAGCGGTTCGTAGCACGAATGATTCCACTCCCGGCATCACATCCCGTGTTTGCTCAACTGTGAGGTATTCATACACGTAAGGTCTCTGATCTCGAATACTTTCGAAGAGTGTCCGGTCCGAACTCATCTTTGTTATGGTACCTGAATTTTTTTACCAGTACCAAAACGAAATTTACCACGATGCTACACTTTGTATTATTTACACCTGCAAAGTAAAAACTGCCTCGGTATATTCACTCTCTATGAGAGATGGAAAGATTCGACAAAAGCCTGAGTAGTAGCAAGTGCGAATAATAGCCACCGACTGACAGGGCAGATGAATGTCCGCCTTTCAGGAATTGCTTGGAAGCAAGCTGATGGCAGTTTTTCTGACAAATGTCAGCATCAATTACCACCGTTAAAGGCTTGGTGGTTGTTATGCCATCCAGCTGCGGAATCAAACCTTCGACAGGAAAGCAGCACTATTTGCACTGCACTGCAGCCTCTAGCAAAAAGTTATGACTTCTGATTCACAAAATTAAAACATTTTGGCGAATCTACACGTCCATTTATGCCCATGTGTGGTTTGTATGTATGTATGGGTGCATGCTTGGCCAGATAAATTAATGTGTATGTTAATTTGGAATGTGAAACTCTGAAATCTTGGTTTCCGGCCAAGAATATGTTTGTAAATATGGGATTTTATTACTATGGGTGTGCTATGACTAAAACCTATGACTTTAATATATTCGGTCTCTGGCTGATCGGACAATAAAGTTTAGAACAGTGAGCTTTCGACCCTTCCGAACTAAAACCTAAGCTTCAAATACAGGCTAATGAAATAATCCCACCCTCCTCGAATTTCGAAAGTTTGATTTGTAGCGCGCTGCAGGCCAGAAGATCTGAGATTAGCTTTTGGTGTTTTTTTTTCTTACGAGGACTAAATTCAAGTAATTCTTCCAGCTGTTGAAAGATGATCACAGGGACCAGCTGACACATGCGCTATCCGTGCATCGACGATGACTATTCATAAAATCGCACGGTACTTCTGTCTGCCTGCAGTACAACCTTATTTTTCTGAAGCTGCCAGTTTGAAGGGCAATTTTGAAACTAGAAGACAAAGCTTACATATAAGATCAGATGTGGCACAAAGCGACACGAATTCGTATCCGTCTCGCAAGCATTCTTCCACAACGTATTCCCCGTTATACAAATTTTCCGTTTCCAGATTACTCTGCAGTAGTTTCGACTTTCATAAAACAGAGGTGACTTCAGCTTATTTCTAAGCGTCCATTGCAGGGGCTAGCCTTTCCAGTTGCCGATTATTAACAATATACCGCCTCGGCAACTTCTTCGACATGTCTCTACCTCTCAAAGACTAAAATACGTTTTTGAGCTTCGGTTCTGAATTCCTTTAACAAGTAGGATCTAATTTTCGGAAATTTGCAAAACGAATGGGGAAAAAATCGAAATCACCTTGATCCAAGATTGTAATTCATCATAGTTATGGATTGAACAGCGGTTTGTTTCATGCCCACTTTTTGAGGAGCACGATCGTATGAACACAGGAAAACCACCGAGTTGCGCAGCAATTCGCTCAAGCCACGATGATGGCTCGGCACTTAGTGACATGACGATTTGCCTAGAAAAAAAAAATCTTTTTTTCTAAAGCTTTCCGAATGCACTGGTACCAAGAACATTTCTTCTTTGGCATTCGTTTCGGCTGTGTCTTATCTGAGCTAACTCTCCCACCTTTTAAACCCTTGCCATGTGCAACACGTAGACAAATTTTTCAGCTATCCCACGGTATGTCCAGTCTGTAAACACAAATGAAATGATGCTTGAAACACAAAATGTGCAAGTCTGGTGCATGATACAGAATTAGCTGTCATTTATCTCAGCTAAAAATTTGACATGCCACCAGTTAGAAAGGTTGATACTGTGCTTCCGAGTCAGTACATGGCTAACGACTAAGGTCCTAGATTTTTAGCCTCCCAGTTTGATCGATGAGTTGAAAATGCTGTCGCATTTATTTAAAACTAAAAATGCACTTCCTGTATCACTTCAAATCAACGGCGAACAGAATATGCTGTAAAAGTGAAAGTAAACCCGACACATAACACACTTTGTCAACAGCTTGTGGAAGTGGCTGTCAATAGATAGTCCCTGTAAAACAAAGAGGAGATGGGAGACGGGGGGGAGGGAATTAAAGATCTTTATTTCAAGCATGGGAAACAATAAGATAGAAGACATAGAAATTACAAGTCATGCATTTGATAGGCATATGGTGAAGCAGTCGCTGTTTCATCCCTTAGCTGTAAACACAGACGGAGCTTCGCATGTAGGAGGAACTGGAATAATCAATAAGTTTGATAAATCTTGCTTCTAGTTGACTTATGCAACCTTCTGTCTCAAAGTCGCTTTTTTTGTTTCGAAACTGCGAAATGTTAAATAAAAGCAGTTTTACCTTAACGTCATTAGGCCATTTCTACGAGCAATAAGTTTCATTTCCTTCATTTGTACAACTTGTTCCACTTGGTCCGGCAAAATTCCTTCGATGCCCAATTCAAATCTGTAAAAATAAGTTTCTATGGAAAGAATAAAACAGAAAGCACTGATCTGATAGCAACTGAAGTGTGGAATGAAGAAAAATCATTGGCGACGCACACAAGGCGGGCCCGTGCGATCATGCATTTTTGCAGTATTTTGTGCTGGAGTCCAAGTAGCTAAAATTTGTAGCATATTGGTCTTCGAAGTTAAGGAAGTTAATTGTGCCACTACTTGTTACTTGGTCGGAAACATGCTCCCAAAATTTCAGCTCTCCAGCCTTACGGGGCCGTACATGAGAACTATGCTGTTCTGGGGCCTCAACTTAAAGCTTTTATGTTTTACGTAGGCTGGGAACATCTCCTCAAAATTCTAGCCTCCTAGCCCTTCTGGTTTCCGAGTTGGCGACTTTCCCGCCAAAAATTTTAGGCGCTCGTATGGGGGCCCAAAAATGCATGAGAATTAATTCCAAAGTCCCTGGGATGCCACTTGGCCAAGGAATCCAGCGACAAAATTTTGGCGCCGAAGCTTGCCTGGCTGCCGAGTTGAAATACCAGAGCAGACGCACACACACACGTACACACACACATACACACACACATACACACAAAAGCACACACCGGGGTCGTTACAATATGCGTTTTTGCACCTGCATATATGCAAAAACGCATAATAAAGTTCATATAATTACATAATACTTATGTAAACAGTGTGCCTTTCATCTTCTAGCTATAAAAACAGACACAGCCCTGCGGGCGAACAATAGTCGGAATCATCAGTACAGTCTTCCATCCGCCAAGTAGGAAACAAACGCAATAAATTAACAGCAATACCAGGGAAGAAAAATGGGATGGAGGAGTAAAAAGGAAAATATGAAACAGTGTGGGGTGAAGCAAGGTGAAAAAAGGCTTTTTTTTTAAAAAAAAGGAGGCGAAAACAGAACTGAAAAATGCCCATGATCGATTATTATTACTTACGTGCAAGATATGTTTTTCTGCTTTAGTTCGTTTAGTTGGAAGCTCCAGCTGACTCATTTGTAAACTGCAAGAAAATCCACGATGAAGGTAAGCCTAACTTCCTAAACCTAACTACGCGTTAATGCGAATGTAGACAGTGAAGTCAGGAGTAGTAGAATAAAAATTCATAGTTGTAATTTTCAGGTTACTGATGGAAAAGACAATGTTCTAGCCTAATTTTTGCAACCATGTATTGCAATTCGGCTTCGAAAGCAACAATAATGCGTCTCGTTGAGCCGTAGTTCGCAGCAAGTTCCCGAACTTTCTGCATCAGAAGTGACTGACAGTGTTCACGTGATCCACATGTCGCCTGGATCTGATAATATACGTCTAGGCTGCAACACTGATTAACAAGT